ACTCACCCTGGTTAACAAATAAAACTTGACTATGGGTCTAAAGAACGACACCAACACCACAACAAGTCACAAGTGTAAATATGACTGGGCAGCGATTTTCACGAGCTGTTTAACCGGCGGGAGTTCAATCACATCTACCGACAGAGAACTAGGTGTCAAAGAGCTGCCAGCGCACACCCGGGTGTGAGAACCATGGTACACTGATACTGGCATAGTAGTGGCTTACATCCCTTGACGTTCAGAAACGGGACACACAGTCCTGTTCAGAAGATGAAGATGCGGTCACTGGGACAAGAAGTTTATTTGCCTGACGTTTCGGATTCTCACTCGAATCCATCATCAAAGACATTCGCAGATACAGTCCTGTATTTGCATGTGCCATCATTTTTTCAAAAGCTGGTTGATCAAACAGTCGTCGACTGAGAGACACCACACATACAGCACGCCCACAACTCACATGCTGATAGTGCCAGAGGTCACGTTAAAAAGGAGCGGGATTTCTCACCGGCCGAACGGGAGAAATGGAGGGAACTCGAGGTCGAACTCCTCAGAAGATACAATTCCGGCGAGAAAAACCTAAGAATATTGAATGGGGAAATCGTAAATGTTCGGAGGTCATTCCTCTGGAGACAACCAATAACATTGAGCATAATTAACAACCAAATACAAAAGAAAGAACGCTCCTATCTGACAAAGCGATCAGAGAAAACGACGGCCAACACACTAACATCCAGTGCAAACAATCAGCAGTAGACTCGAAAGGGGACGATAGACCCGAAAACTCGCACGAACTATCCAGCAACTTTGACCTAAAAATCGTACGGGACTCTGCCCGGGCTAAGCTCCGTTTTCTTTATGCAAATGCTCGGAGTTTGTTCCAGAAGCCAGATGAACTGAAAGTGTGGATAACAGATACGCAGCTGGATGTCATTTCTATCACAGAGACTTGGTTCCAGATCGAAGTCTTAGATGCCGAAATTACACTCGATGGATACCAACTTTTTCGCCGGGACAGAATGCAAAATAGGAGGGGGAATAGCGGTCTACGTCAAGAGAGGAATCATCGCGTCGGAACAGTAAACCGATTGCTCCCGCGACTGTGAAGCAATGTGGTTAAAACTGAGGATGCGTGGCTCACCTACTTTGAATTTCCTGACTGTATACAGGCTGCCCAATCAAAATGGTGAAGTTGACGAGGCGATGTTTGGGTTAATTAAAGAGGTGTCACAAAACCAAGAGTTACTGATAACTGGAGACTTCAACGCACCCATGCTCAACTGGAACAATTTAATAGTAAATGGTTGCGAAATTCCTTTGATTCCAGGCTCTTGAAGCTAACGGCTAATCTCTTTCTGATACAAAACGTTACGTTCCCAAGCAGGATCACAGAGGATCAAAGAGCAAATTGTTTGGACCTCGTCCTTACAAAAGACCCAATTAAACCTGATGAACTTAGGTGCATAACACCGCTCGGTAAGAGTGACCATGTCATGCTGTTTTGGGAATACCGACTATGCAGCCAACAACTGAATACCACTGAGCCTCGGCTGAATTTCTGGCTAGGAGATTTTGCCGCCATGAGAAGGAAATTATCGGCAGTGGACTGGAATGATGTTCTTTCCGGATATCCAGACGTTGATTGGAACACTCACAAAGGAGTTGTAACCGACATCATGCATCGAAACTGTCCGACTAACGGAGTCAAAAAGAATATTCGTCCTGCCTGGATAACGCGGGATATAAAGAAAGAAGTAAACAGGAGGAACAAACAATGGAGAAGGTATGCAACAATAAAACAACCATCTAATTACGCGCAGTTTCGTCGAAAGCGAAACGATGTAAGGTCGGCTATCCTTAGGTCGCGGAAGGAGTATGAAACGTGAGTTAAGGGACGGGCCGTCGATAAGTGAAAAGTGCTCTTCTGTTACATACACAGTAGGATAAAAAAAAACAAGGAGACGGTCTTAGTGTTAAAAGGATAAAACAATGAGAATATCATCGAAAATGACGCTAAGGCAGAACATCTAAGCCGGTTTTTCGTATCTGTTTACATCGATGAAACGGACTTTGACGAGTCTGGATTGCCTGCTGGGACAACCGACGAAATAATAGAAAGCATCGACTTCACGGAAGAAGATGTGAGGAAGGAGCTTCTAGCGCTTAAAGAGGGTAAGTCTCCGGGTCGAGACCAAGCACCGGCAAAAGTTCTGAAGGAGTTGGCTTGTGAACTCGCCAGACCGCTTTTGCACATCTTCAGGTCGTCCTTTGACCGAGGCATTCTCCCCTCTGATTGGAAAGTGACGAACATATACCCCATTCACAAGGGTGGATCTAGAACAAGTATAAACAGTTATCGGCCGATGAGCCCAACGTGCATTTGTTGCACAGTCGTGGAGAGAATAGTCAAAAAATCCAAAATGAAGTTCGTTGAAGAAAACAATCTCGTTGCTAGTTCCCAACATGGCTTTCGACGAAATCACTCCTGCCCTAACTAATATGCCCTATTCAACGGAACAGTGGTCTCGTTCGTTAGACGAAGAAACAAGGGTCGATATCGTTTACATCGATTCCAAGAAGGCCTTTAATAGTGTTTCACACCACCGGTTACTTTACTAGGTCCGGAAGTCAGGGATAAGGGGAAACCCATTAAGCTGGGTAAAGGACTTTCTGACCGGTCGATCACAATCTGTGTGTATTGGTAGTGCGAAGTCAACGCCAGTGCCAGTTGTGAGTGGAGTTCCCCAGGGCTCTGTACTCGGACCAGTACTATTTTTAATTTATGTCAACGACTGTATGAATGGACTGGACTGTAATGGAGTCATGTTTGCCGATGACATCAAGTTATGGCGAACGATCAACGGGGAAAATGATGAACGGGCCCTGCAAGAAGGACTGAACCGCCTATGCGAATGGTCTGATAGATGGCTGCTGAGGTTTCACCTTGAGAATAACGTCGCGCTGCGACTCAAAACGACTGGAAGAGCCGACGGAGAGGATCACCATTACCTGCTTGGTGGAAGGTGCCTTTCAAATTTAACCGAACAAAAAGATCTGGGGATCAACATTTTGTCGACCCTTAAGCCTTCCTCACAGTGCGTTAGGGCGGCCAAAACGGCTACCAGAGTTCTCTTTGCCATTAGACGAACTTTCGTAGACATAGACAAAGAGTTATTTTGAAAAGTATACGGAGCGTTCATTCGTTCGCATCTGGAATATGGAATCCAAGCGTGGCGCCTGCGGCTGAAAAAGACTATAAGTTGCTAGAAAGAGTTCAGAGGAGAGCGACAAAAGTTGTGAAAGGCCTCAGGACTTTACCTTACAACTGCCGACTTAGTGAATTTAAACTCTTTCCTCTTGAGTGCAGGCAGGTTCGAGGAGATCACATACAGGCGTATCGGATAATGAGGAACCAGGACTGTGCCCTACACCTCAACGATTTCTTCACCCTGGCCACAACAGCAACCTGCGTGGGAACTCCCTAACACTCAGAGGATCCCGATGCCGCCAGGACGTTCGAAGATACTGTTTTTCTAAGCCAGTCGTCGGTGCCTAAAACGGGCTTCCCGAGGACGTAATAATGGCAAAAACCACGGAAACATTCAAGCAAATACAAGATGTATATTCGCTTGGAAAATACCGCTTGTCTGCACAGAACAACTCTGTGGTGCCAAACCAACGCCTTGAATACACCTACCGCTAATGTTCCTGAGTTTCGGTCCTGCATTTTTCGATGAAAATATTCTGTTAAGTGTATATATTACTGACAACATTTTAGTACCATGTTTATTTAAAATTAGATGCCGCAAGCACCGTTTACATTGGGGTTTTCAAAGGCATTGCCTATTACCCTTAAAATATACTGACATATACTGACCTAACTGTATTTGATGCCAGTTTGCAGGCATTGTCAGGGAAGGGTTGACCACTAATCCCGCCAGCAGTGGAAAAACAAACGCCGGAAAAAATAAAGATAATGGTGGTTCTTTGTAGTTGGAGGGTTCAGGAGACAAAAAGCTGCTGGCAATTAAATGACGACATCCAAGAACAGTAGGGGTAGCACTGCATCGGATATTATCAGTCGCCAATTCTTTTCATGATGTTGGCTCTGGACCGAACAGAAGCGCTAAGGAGCTTTCAGTTTCAGTTTATTTCAGTTTATTTGGTAAGGATAATAGGCAAAGCCTTTGAAAACCCTATTGATTACATGTCAGCTCGTTAGAAATAACTGTACACGAACAAAAAATGTTCATAATTAAAACAGTACTTGGTTCATTTGAGTAGCATTGTCTCAGAGGAAATATTTGTGGGGACCAGGGGTATTAGTTCAGATTCAGACAATCGAGGGAAAACAGGGGACACAAATAATCGTCCAAGCGTTTCTTGAAGAGTTTCAGGGACGTAGCCTCCACGACTGACTGAGGGAGATCGTTCCATTTCTCCACAACCCTCTGCGTGAAAAACTCAGAACGAAGATTCAGCCTGGACATTGTTGTCCGTAACTTCATCGAGTGACCACGAAGATTGAGTGAAAGGTGCCACTGAAACATGTCCTCAAATTTAAGTCCATACTCAAGGCCATGTATTATCTTGTAGACGAGGATAAGATCACCTGTTTGCTGCCTGTAACACAGAAGGAATAAATTAAGGCAATACAGTCTGTCTGTGTAGGAATGGCTTTTTAGACCGTTTACCAGCTTTGTTGCACGCCGTTGTACTCGTTCGAGGCATTCTTGGTCCTTTACCAGCCATGGCCGAAATGCTTGTATGCCATATTCTAAGTGGGGCCGAACAAAAGTGCCGTAAACTCTCCCAAAAAGGTCTTGGTCAAGATTTACGAAAGCCCTTTTTAATGCATGCAGCACTCCCGTGGCGTTTTTTGCAGCCTTGTGACACTGCAGTGTTGGTTTCAGGTTGTTCTGTATCCAAACCCTGAGATCCTTCTGTGAAAAATCTGCGGGGAGCCTTATATCTTTCAGGTGATATGTCCTTAGGCTCTCATTTCAATGAGAGTTGGTTAGACGCAGGTGAAGGACGGCACACTTCTCCACATTGAAATCTAGAAGCCATTTCTTCGACCACGCCTGCAGTCGGTGCAGGTTATCTTGAAGGGATCTCTGATCATTCGGACCCTTAATGACTTGCCAGAGCTTAACATCGTCTGCAAACATTATTGTGCCGCAGTCGAGTTCCTGAAGGCTATCGTTAACGTAAAGGATGAAGAGCAATGGTCCCAGAACTGAGCCTTGCGGCACACCACTGGTCACATTCACCGATTCTGACATATCATCCCCGATACAGACACGTTGTTTCCGACCAACCACAAACGCCCTAATCCAGTTCAGAAGATCTCCCCGGATGCCGATGTCGCTCAATTTGTGAAGAAGACGTTGGTGCGGGACAGTGTCAAAAGCTTTGCGGAAATCGATGTACACGACATCGACCTCAAAACCCTCTTCTAGAGCTCTGGTCCAGATCTCCAGACAAGCTAGCAGATTTGAGAGGCAGGATCGGCCTCTCCGGAAGCCATGTTGAAAATCCAGCAAGATGTTATTTTCTTCACAAAATTGCTGTATAGCGTTCTTTACTATAGCTTCCATCGTTTTGCAAGGGAGGCAAGTTAAGCTTATAGGCCTGAAACAGCTTGCTGCCATCCTGCTACCTCCCTTATGCAATGGAACGAGGTTAGCTGTCTTCCACTGTGAGGGCAGCCTTCCTGTTCTCATTGACAGCTCAAAGAGAGTCGAAAGAGGCTTTGACAGCCCCGTTGATAGCTGCTTAAGTATCAGTCCGGGAATTCCGTCGGGTCCAGGAGACTTATCAGGTTTTATTTGACTGAGGAGGCGTCTGACTTCTGCCTCCACAATCGGCTAACAGTGCCTCAAATACTACGACTCAAAATGTAGCGGGTTCGCAACTGCCCCCCAGCCCTCATATCAAGGCAGTTAGGCCGAATATGCCGATTTTCCCACCGTTTAATAGACCTATTGTTCCAATGGAAGCAATGCGCTTCCCACCCCCTAACTTGTTTCCTCCACGGCCGTTTTACCAATTTATTCCTCATGATAATGTCCATACTGAATCAGTTAATTCATCCGATCTTCAGTTTCGTCCCGGCGGGAATGTGTTGCAGTATCTGCCCCGCGGATTTCCAGCTGAAAATAAGTTAGCTAACAATAGTTACCAGTTTACCTGCCCGTCATTCCCTCCCCCAAGTCCTACCCCTTTTTATCCACGTCAGAATTTTTTGATGCCAAAAACTTTTTGCAGAACCGGATGGTTGCATCCGGACCGTTTGCTCCGTGGGCGACCCAGAACTGGACGATGTAGCCCACCTCCCTCAAAAACTAACAGCCCTTCCCTTCAAACTTTTTGTTTTAAATGCCAGATCCTTGCTTAATAAGATGCCTTTGCTTCAGACTCAGGTGTTCATCCATTGTCCTGATATTGTTTTAGTAACTGAGACGTAGGCATCAGCCTCAGTAGCTGACTCCGAACTCTCTCTTCTAGGCTACAATTGCATTCGAAATGATCGCCAAGATAGCCGTGGTGGGGACAGCGGCGTCTACGTTAAGCAAACACTTACATGTTTGCCGTTGGACCTCCCACACTTTTCCGCAGTAGAAGGCAGCTGCTGGCTCCAGGTTGCACTAAAAAATAAGTTCTCCTTACTCATTGGCTGCGTCTATCGCCCTTCCAACGCCAATGACAATTTTGATCGTTTACTCTCACAGGCATTTCTTGCTGACTCAAGCTTTAAGTATCAATTGGTTGCGGGTGACTTTAATCTCCCTGAAGTCCGCTGGTCTCCGCCTTCAGGCCCCAGAAGGTTCGATGACTTTCTTGAGGCTGTGGATGTCGGGATGTGGACTCAGGTTGTTGATTTTCCCACCCGAGGCTCAAGCATACTTGACTTAATTTTCTGTAGAGGCTGCTTGCCATCGTCGGTGTCATCCCTAGGCCCACTCGGGGGCTCAGACCATGACATAGTTGTTTCAAAGTTGGAATTCGAGGCTGACGAAATGTCGTCCCAAAAGTATAACTTATTCCGCGATTTCCGATCAACTCACTCAACCGAATTATTAACACACCTTAATTCCTACGACTGGATTGAGTTCTTCCTTTGTTCCGACGTAAATGTTTGCACTGCAAAACTGTACGAAATTTTGGATCCGCTTATTTCTCGTTTTGTCCCCCGTAAGAAAATTATTAATGTTGGGGATGAGATTTTCCTACCTTTACCCTTTCGTCGCAGATTGCGCAGGCTTTATCGTCGTTTCCATCTGCAGAACGATGTTTCTGTTCTGCCCTCGATTTGTGATATTTTTGATCGAGCTAAGAGATTGTCTGAAGAAAAACAGCTAGCCGAAGAGGTCCACTTTACCGAAAACCATTCGTTAAATGTCTCGAAACTTTTCTCTAGAATAATACGAACTCATAGAAAGACGCAACATCCCATGCTCCGAGACGATCTCGGAAATCCCATAGTTGATGCCCAGTTAACCACTAATAGCTTCAATGATTTCCTGTCCAAAACGTTTATTGAAGACTCGACCACTCCGCTTCCGACCATCCAGTCATTGACCGGGGCAGTTCTAGAAACTATAACTTTCACTCTGTGGGATGTGACTGTTGCGATTCGGCGTTTTCGTCAATCTTATAGTCCAGGCCCTGATGGTGTCCCAGTAAGCATTTTTAAAGCCGATGCAAACACGATCTTCCCATCCCTCTTATGCAAGATATTTAATATTGCTCTTGAAAGTGAAACTTATCCTACCTTGTGGACGGTATCACACATCTTGCCCATTCCTAAGGAAGGCAAATCTACATCATTTGATGACTTTCGGCCAATAAACACCCTCCCTGCAGTTTCGAAGATCTTAGAGACATTGATCAAAGATAAGATAATGTGTCACTTAACAGCGAATAACTTACTGAGTGCTGCTCAGCATGGATTCCTCAAAGCTCGATCTTGTGACACCTGTCAACTCTCTTTCTTTGACTATGTTCTCCAATCTAGGGACCATGGTTTTGCTCTTTACATAGTATATTTCGATTTCACTAAGGCTTTTGACCGTGTTGACCATTCTCTTCATCTCTGGAAACCGTCCTCTTTCGGAATAGGTGGCAAACTTTTGAATTTTATATCCTCTTACCTGGGCACTCGTACACAACGAGTTAAGATTTCCAATACCATCTACAACCCCACACGTGTGAGGAGTGGATTCATTCAGGGTAGTGTACTCGACCCGCTTTTATTTTGCCTTTTCGTTAATGATGTACCCGATTTATTTCAGAATGGTAAGCCTTTCATGTATGCCGATGATCTTAAAGTTGCATATCGATATAAGTCGGCAGATAATGACATCGTGCTTGAGCTCCTAAAGAGCGATCTACAGGCTTTCGCCCAATGGTGCCACACATGGTGCCTTTCTCTCTCTTGGCATAAGTGCTCAGTCATGGTGGTTGGCGACGACCGCCAACCTCAACTAAGTATTGAAGGTCACGCAATAAATGTGCCAGGGGTTATAAAGGATTTGGGCGTATCATACTCCAAGAGTCTTAATCTCTCGGAGCACTGTACCTTGATAGTCTCCAAAGCACGTAGAACGACCGGGTTTATCCTCCGAAATTTTAAAACTAGGGACATTAGAATGCGCCTTTTCAACATGTACGTTAGACCTGGTCTGGAATACTGTTCGTTTTTATTTGGCCTCATGCGTGCTACTGAGCGGAAGAAAATAGAATCCGTTCAACACTTTTTTACCAAGAGAATTTTAGCCCCGGAACACCCACATTTGTCTTACCAAGAACGTTGCCGGCTTACAGGCCTCGATCCTTTATGGTTCCGTAGATTACAAAAGGGACTATTTTTGCTATTTAAACTCTTATATAATCACACATTTAACCCACTCACCTCTTTAAGACATCATATGCACCCACGACGTAACAGTCACCGTGAGGTCTTTTTATTTCTGCCTATGGCACGTACTGTTAAATATCGTCGGTTCTTTTCTATAAATGCAATTGCTATTTGGAATAAACTACCCATGAGTGTGAAAACTCTGCAAAATTATCCTTTATTTAAGAGAACTATTATTTTATTTTTGCATTCAGAAAAGCTCCCACAAATTTTGGGTGCTGAATCTACTGATCGACTCTTCCGTAGCGATGACGTTTGTGGTCTCTGAACATTATGGCCGGTCTCACCAGCTGTTCCTCAACGCCTCTACTTTGTCTATCCCCAACTTCATGAAAGGAATTTGACGTCCGATGATCTCCGATACCGTGCAACCTCCCCCCTTCTTGACGGTTGATATTCTACCACCGCCGGCAGTTTTTTCTCCTGAGCCCTCCAAACCATAAAAACCACCATCAACTATATTTTTATGCCTTAAGCTCAGGATTTTTTTTCACTGCCGGTCGGATTTATGTTTAATCGCTCCCCTTGACAATGCCTGTTAACTGGCATTAAATAAAAATTTAATTTAATTTAACAGTTGGTAGCCTTCAATTCTGACTTCGCTACTTCTAATTTCCTCAGTCAACCATGTCTCTGTTACGACAATTTTGTGTGGCTTCTGTTCACATACACTTGAGGAAGGTCATGCATAACTCTCTCCTTTGGAATTGTTGCCGTTGATTCGGGTACTAATTTTATGACTACATTTTGCTTGCGATGAACCTAGTGCTCGTTGTTGTCACATATCTTCAGATTACTGGTTTCGCTGGTTTCGGATGAACTAGCTATTGGGCTAGCGAAACTGAGATCCTTGTACGATTCATTTATCTTTCTGTTGATAACCCTTCCTTTTATGTTTCCGAGGTGTTCGTCGAAAAAGTTTACCTCAATTTATTTCGAAGCCTCCTCGTGAATATTCGGTCCACAATGTGTTCCGATATCTTTATTGTTCAACATATTTGGGAACCTCCGGCTGTCCTTCGTAGTCCTCCTGGTCGTTTTCCTTCGCTGGTCTGCGTGTACGTAGGCGGCCTTCGTTTTTTGGACCGTACAGAGGTGCGCGTTGTTTTTCTGGGATGTTTCTTTGTTATCTGAGTTCCCTTTGGCTGGTCTTTTTCTCTCCTAAGAGACTGGTATTAAACTGTGTTTTGTTCCCTGGACGAATCTTCGTCAGTTTCAGCGTTTGATATGGCTAAAGAAGCCGGGGTTGCATATATTTTTTATTCGGATTCTGGATTGTCGAATTCGTCGACATTTTCCCTTCCTTAACTTTTCTACCTCCATTTTTAAACCTATTAACTCCCCCTCCAATTTCGAAAACTTATGGATGCGTCCGAATCAGGTGGTACAGATTTCATCGTCGTATGTGACATCCCCCAACGTCAATAGAATTTTTGCTCGTTTTACGGGCATTGGTCTGACAGCAGAACGTCCAACACTGCAGTCATTAATATCATGCGTAATACAAGATGTATCATGAGTTTTGACTTGATCTACCACTAAATCCCAGGAGGACCCTTCTCGGAGTCAAGAATCTGAGTGTTCGGGAATGAGACCGTTAACAGTGCCTTTATGCTTTCCGGTGTAAGATGTTTGCGTAATTTCGACTTGAATACCAGCAACGTAGGCGATAATCTAATTTCAGGCGGAGGATTATTCCAAATGAAGGCATATTTGGAAGCAAAGAAGAGGGAGCGCCTATATGTAGTACAAAGAGGCGGCGGAATCACCATGCAGGAGTTGCGCGTGGCATGAGACCGATCTCTCGGAGTGAGAGTGTCAATGAGCGGAAGACTGGAGCTAGAGGTAATGCGAAAAAGGAAGCAAAGGCCCGCTTCGAGTCCTCTAACCCACAAAAACTTAATGTTCGCCAGCTGACATCTCTGAGTATAAGAAATACTGGACAAAGCTTCAGAGAACAGTTTCCGGGTGAAAACCCTCTGAACATTTTCTATTTCGTTACGGTCGCAGGCGTTCATTAAATCGAAGAAAGGACAGCAGAATTCGAGGAATGGAAGAACAAACATTTGATAAAGTCTTAGCTTCATTTCCGGAAGGAAAAAATTATGCAATATTATTCCACATATCTGCGCGGCTTTGGCAGAGATTCTATCTGCATGAGGTGATAAAGCAAGTTTATTTGTATAACTTAGACCTAGCTCCCTTTTGGTGAGGCATTCTGAGAGTGGGTTATTCTGAAAAATTATGGGACCAGGAAGTTTGGTAGGACCAAAAGACATGAAACTACACTTGGATGATGAAAACTCCATCTGCCATGTCGAACCCCATCTGCTTAAGCGTAGTAAATCGGCATTAATTTCTTCAACACAAACATTTGCGGTGTCCTTAGAGTATGAGTAAACACACTTGAGGTCATCGGCATAAGTAAAAGTTTGCGAATTTCCGAGTTCAGTCGAAATATCATTGATGTACAGAAGGAAGTGTAGCGGACCCAGGACCGTGCCTTGAAGTACGCCACTCGTGATCGAGTGGGGTGCCGAGTAGCTATTACCGACCATGAGGACTTTGTTATCATTTAGCAGGGGTGGAAGTTTGTGATCACGCTTAGAGGAGGACCGATGACGGAAGATGTTAGCGACGGATTTGCCCGGGTTCGAACCACTGAGAGCAATTGATTCTCTTTGCCTGTCAAGCTGTTGGCGCATCCTTGAGGCCATCTCAAAAATCTCTGTGATCCTAGATGAACTGATAAGGAACTAGTGGATGGGTCACGCAGCTGCCGTCTCAAAGTTTTTAGCCTGTTGTGAAGAAAATGAGGAACAAAGGGATCCGAAAAATCAGGCTTTAGATATCTGCGCGGCACAAACTCTAGGATGTCCTTGGAAACATTGGACATGACATCACGAAGAATGCTTGCTTCGCGACAGGAGAGGAAGCCGCACCGATCCAAAGATCTAATATAGTTATTTATTAAGTCGTTATCTATGCAATCGTAGTTCATGTAAGTCCAAAGGACGCTGGTCTTTTTTGAAAAGGCATGCGGTAAGCAACAATGAATTAATACGTGGTCACTGTCAAAGAGGTTTTTTTGAAGGCAACAAATGAGGAGCAATGTCATTGGTAAAGATTCGACCTAAAACGTGATTATCTCTTGTTGGAGAGCGCACCAGTTGGGACTAATTAGAAAAGTTGACAATATCTTTAAAGGGCTGGAATCTGGGTGGGCAGCTATTGGAAACCCAGTCTATTTCAGGAAGGTCAAAATCACCAGTGATTACTTTAACATCGAAAGCAGCTTCCGACACTAATTTAAAAATTCCACGGAGTTGTGAATCATCATTGGCTAGAGAATTTGGGGGACTGTAGATACAGCCAATAATTGCCTTTCTTTGTGGTGAGAGAATAACAGATGCAAAACAGAAGTTTCCCGTGAATAGAATAGTTTTATTGTAGCGCCCCTTGGGCACTGTCATCCAAGTAATAGGGAGAGGGCTTTTTGGTAGAATTTAAAATAAAGAAGACAACCACCCCCACGCCTAGTCGTGCGGTCTTGGCGGTAAAAATGGAAGTCATCTATGAGAAGGGCAGAGTCAGGAATTAGGGGATGGGTCCAAGATTCTGTTACACATATAATATCAGGCGTCATTTCCAGAGCAATGGCTCTGATTTGGGCCATCTTGTTTATAACAGACCTGGCATTCAATAATATAATATCTTATGTGTTTCGAACGGCAATGCTATTTTCGACGGTATTAAAAAAATGAAGGCGGATATGTAAGCTGTGAATTAATGAGACTTGGAGAATATGTACCAGTTAGTCTAGAGTTATTGAAGTACGGGGAGTCAACAACAGAAGGCTGAGTATGAGACCTAAAGGATGTGGGGATATAGTTTTCGAACATTGGAAGGCTAGGGGAGTTAGAACATGGATAGACTTGTTGTTAGTTAAACTGCGGAGGAAAGGGAGTAAGAGGGAGCCCGCTCAAATATATCACAAATCGAGGGCAGAACGGAAACTTCGTTCCAAAGTTGGAATCGATGAAAAAGTCTGCGCAAACTGCGGCCGAAGTGTAAGGGTAGGAATGCCTCATTCCCCAAATAAATTTTTTTCTTGCGGAGGACTAAACGAGAAATAAGCTGATCCAAAATGTTGCACAGTCTTGCAGTGATAAGATTTATATTCGAACTTAGGAAGGACACAGCCCAGTCGTAGAAATTAAGGTTTGTTAATAGTTCGGCTGAGCGAGCTCATCAGGAATCGAAGAAGAATCTCTACATTCGGTACAAAGTTTCTTCAGCATGGACTTCTAAGTTTGAAACAACTATTCATGGGCTGAGCCCCCGAGTGTGCCTAGTGTAGCTGCTAGGCGGTGATGGTGCATGCTCAGTACGCCAAAACTGCAGGCCATATCCCAAGGTGTTAGAAGCGGGACGCCAGTTGGAGAGGAAAAAGATCTATTAATTCTGTACAGAATAATGAAGGGAAGTTGGCAACCGGATGAGGATGCGTCCGGCGCCGCGGAGATGAAGTCCGCGAGAGCGACGAGCCGTGTGTCGCCAAAAGTCGTCGCTGCAAACGTGTCGTGGCAGAGTAGTTACGCTAGTGCCTGGACTGCTCCCGCCTGTGTTACCAATCAGCGAGAGGAGTTGCGTTGATTGGCTCTGGGTCCACGCGATGGTAGTGACAAGACTCGCATGGTGCAGGCAGAGATTCGACCAGATGCGTGGTGCAGACAGTGAATTGCAACGAGACAAATCGAAGTCGGACAGACGGGCGTGCCATATCAGGCTACCGCTAGGGCGCAGTTGCAGGCGCTAGCGAGAAGCGCGACGTTGCCACTATGGCTGTCAACTACACTAGGGATGACACTGACGAGGGCATGCAGCCTCTACAGAACATTTAGTCGAATATGCCTGATCCTCGGGTGGGAAAATCGACAACCTGATTCCGCATCCCAACATCCACAGCCTCAAGAAAGTCTTCGAACATGTTGGGGCCAGAAGGCGGAGATCAGCGACTTAAGGAAGATTGAAGTCCCCCTAAGCCTAATTCGGCCGTAACATGAAATGCCAGTGAGAGTAAACGATCAAAATCCTCATTGTCGTTCGGAGGGCGATGGACACAACCCACGAGTTAAGAATACTTATTTTTTAGTGCAACTTAAAGCCAGCTTCTTGGCGAACTCCTCCTCTCACCGGGTCACTGAAGATTGGGATAAACTAACTAATTCCATTGTTCTGGCGGAAGGCGTTCAGGCATTTAAACGAAGGCTTAATAAGATTTTGTATGACACTTGATAAGAAGTGAAAAATGTACAGCATATCCGAGTGCACTTGAGTAACTTTTTCGGCCATTGTCCGTAAATAGGGTTTTCAAAGGCTCTGTCTATCTCCCTTATATATGGTGAATTATATACTGCATCATACTGAATTAACAATACTGGTATTTAAAAATAAGGACCCTGCCAAAACCTAATGTTTTTAATCAGATAGGTATGGCTTAATAAAATCCAACCCAAAGCATTACCATTGTCAAAACAGATAAGGAGAACAGGCAGATAGCCATTACAAAGGAAGAATGAGTAGATTAGGAAAAATGGTACAGGTTTCGCAAGAGCGATTGAGCGAATTTCGATGTTGGTACATCTTCCGCATGGGTATTCGTCTGAAACAGTGCTATGTCCGTGAAATATGTATCCGTATCTTGCCTCCTTAACGTTCTTTGCATATGGTTGCGCTGACCATCGCTCTGCTAGGCACGTTGTCTCTTGTGAGCCTGTACTTTTATCTATTGTTCACTCCCTTTGCTAGTCTGGGGTTGGGTATTGTCTGCCGATGGTGGTTAATGAACCAAAAAATGATTATCCCGATGTCTCTTATCTTTTTCGGCAATGCTATTTTTTATCAAGGAATCAGTATACATAGAAATTATTATAGGAGAGCACCAGAATATTCGGGCACATTCGACTTGCGGGTATGTTCAGCCGATTGGTTGGAACTGAAGAGAGCCTCGTAATCGCTTTTGTATGTCGATTCGCCATACCCATGAACGTCTGCATAGCGGTCATATCAAGCCGGAACAGCCCTCTCTACCTGAAAGCTACGAAGTCGGCAGACTTACTGAGTTATCATTTTCGGGTGTACGGAGCATTAGATGTAATCGACGAAAAGGCTGGGATGTTTTCCACCAAGTCAGCTTTTCCTGACAAGGACAGTTCGAATCGATACCTCGGTTTACTTTACCCCATAGACGATCATTACGTTTACGGATACATAACTAACACGAACGTTAAGGTAACCTGTCTAACCAGAGGTTTTGGAGATATTTCATGCTACACAAATGGAGATTTGTATGACTGGTTCTTAAAAACCAGTTACGTCACTAGTTTTTAATTAAAAACTTTTTAAAAACTGCAGATTTGCAGTACTGCAAAGTTGCAGTGACTTGTTCGGGTTACCTGACAAACATCTGCTCCGACAGTACGCTAGCGCATTCTGTGATGGCACCACAGCCGCCCAGGGCTAGCCTCTACGGTTCGTCTACGGCGAGTTTTGTGGTCAGCCAAGTCATGCCATTAGTCACTGCGTTCGCAATCCGCCCAGCAATCCCTTCGCGTGATTGGGGCACGCTGTGCCTACTCAATCAGATCACTTGTCACAGGCAAACCCGTAAACTCGAGCTGCTTGTAAAAATCTAGACAGAAGCTAGTACAATGCTATCAGGGTACTGGCATCGTGCAGCATATATGCACCGGCAATTAACACTATGTTAGCGCAGAAGTGGCATGTGATGCTAATAGGGCGCAGGGCATGGTTTGTGTCAGATTCGCATGGTGCTCGGGCATACTGCGTACGAGTGCTTGGGAAGGTAGCTGATATTTAACTGCAGATCAGTAAAATCAGTCGCCCTACCGCTTGATTCCAGTACACACCCGCTGCTACAGTCTTCTCAAACGCACCAGTCCCCAATGCTGTCTGCGACGACGACAGAGGGCACCATCGGACCGCTGACGCTGCTATGTTTGTACGAAATGGCAGTCGCCACGCTACGTCATCAGGCTTGTATATGGGTGCACAAATTTGGAGATACAGCCATTCATTGGAGTGGTTGAGCTTGCCGATGACAGCTTATTTCAAGTCGTTACCGCTGCCGAATCGGCCGCAGCGGTCACAAGCTGACGGCGCTGGACGGAGATCTGCGACAGCGGTTGTGTAGTCCAAGACTTCAAATACCCGAACAGTATCTGCCAATTCGAGACTTGCTGATAAACGAGTGCTGAGTAGCAAACATACAAGCGAACTCTGTAGGCGGTGGTGTCAAGATCAGGAAGCGTTGCTATGGGCTGCGTTGGCTGAATAAGACGTGAATCAATCAGCCCCCCCTCTCCCACCCCAAGGGAGTGGTAGAATGTGTGATTAGCTGCTGCGCAGGCTAAATGGGGGCGGTGAAATAACTTGTGAAACGTTTGAGGCACTTTTCATGCAGTTTATACGTTTGGTCACTCGCGAGCCCACATTTAGGGACTGTCTGGCTGCAAGGGGCGGCGGTATATGCCACTGAGGGACATGTAAGGCCAAGTTACGCAAATGCCCCAGACAAGTGCTTTGCTGCTGTCATCCTGCGGCGGGATGCCCCCTGCAGCAGCTAAACCTTGTTTCCCTTTGTTTAATATGTTATTGATATTTTGAGTATAAAAGCTAATCGCCTTATCCATTTACCTTAGTATTTCCATTAAGGCGTGAGAGTATTGTACGAAAAATACTGCGAATTTTCATTTTTCTGACTGTTGTCACTCTGACCACTTCATTTGACTGCTTGGCTTTATAAAGGTCCGCCAGGGACGGTTTCGTATGATGAATGAGTTAGAGGCCTCGCCGAGGCAGAGAGAATGTGATTTGGGCAGTTACCCAAGCATGCACAAGTTTACCGTCTGAACACAAAATGGCGTTCTCTTTCTCCCCTTCTGTGTTGCGTGATCGGATAACACTACTGGACAGCTTATTGCACCTGACATGGGAGGTTCCGCTGCGTTTTGGCTGCAGACCCACTCCTTCCTGGACCCCTTCACTTAGCCATCCTCCTGCAATTCTTCACATGGTCTACATGCAACTCACCTAGGGCACTGCGCGAGTTCATATCAGAGAATGTCATAAGATAGGTTCAATACGCTGAGTTACCTACCCTGTGATTTGTTCCGTAACAATGGTGGAACGATCTTTTAAAATATCACAACAGGCGCCCGAAGCACGCTTAGCTGATCTTAAGATGGGCAGGTACACTTAACAGTCCAAAGAGGACCAACCATTGCATAAAGTTCCCGTAGTACCGTTTGTCTAGAAGGCCTTTAAAAAACTGCGAACCCCTTATACGGCAAGAAGCTCGGGGCCATTGTAGCTTCGCGACTTGCGACTGAGGATTCTCGACTTCTGTGTAGATTCAGCGCAAAATGTACCATCGCAGCACAGTAGTCGCCGCTGATGCTGCAGATAGCCGACGGTGCCAGTCAGCACTTGCTGGATACTGGACATCTTGCTTATCATTTCTTGAGCACGCAATTTGCATAGGGATTTGGGAAGCGAGAAATAAGCTCTACAGTAGACGCGCCATCTCAAGAGATGTTAACCGAAATTCTGGAGTGCGTTGTAGACTCGAAGAGACTACCCAAGTAGGGTTGTGATATTTATTATCGTGTAGCATAATCAAAAGACATTTCATTCAATCGGCAGGGAAGTAGTATTTCTCCCCCTTATTTTCAGTGCTCTTATGAACTTAAATATATTTTATAGGAGACACGCACAAAAATATATTTCTGTGGTAGAGGGGCGCTCACGATCGTGCTTACGGAACTCACTCGTTCCGTTGTGCCTTACGGGCCCTCTCTCGAGCCTGCCTTGTCTTTGTCGGTAATAACATTCTGCATATACTTTTGTGCTCATTTGGCAGCAGTTTACATCTTCGAATTTTATGCTTAGAGAAAGTGTTTTTCGGTTTTAAGAACCTTGCCGATTTAAGAATAATTTTGAACCCGAACTGTCGTTACACTTTCATTCAAGGTTTCTAAACTGCCCGGCTTATAGTTTCCGTGTAAGGAAGACCACACACTTATACGCCATTAAGAAGACGTCATATCACCTTATCTACGCATATCACTAGTCGCTATGCGACTGCCCGCGAGAGTTCTAGTCTAAGCCCCAGGGCACCACGGGACAAGCATGTTCCGTAACCTGATCGGTGAGCGCCCATCTACCTTAATAAATATTTCCGATCACAACCGACAGGACAACGAGCCTGTGACCCATTGGTAGAGCGTTCGGCTGAATGACCAAAGATCGCAGGTTCGAATCCCACGCGGTTCGCACTTGGGATTGGACATGACTGGCTAATGACGGCTAATAAGCCAGAAATGGCCATTCCGGTCAGCCTTGTCTTTGTCGGTAATACCAGAAAGCCTTTTCTTTAAACCGAGAAATACCCTTTCTTCGTGTATAAAATCCGAAGAGGACTTGATTTACTGCCAAACAAGTACAATAAACAAAAACATATTTGACTTTATAGGGTCATCTAAAATCACTAGGAGGAGTTAGCGCCACATAAGTAGCCATTTTTTACGGAATGTAGTTTTCGGAGACGGCTCGAAGGGAGCTCGTTCGAAGGCCGGCAGCCCAATTACTGAAATATTGTGGGATTATGCTACATGATAACTAACGTTACAACCTTACTTCGGTAATCTTTCATAATCGAAAACATATTTCGGAATTTCGGTTAACATCTCATGAGATAGGACATCTACTGTATCCTGTGGGATAAAAATGAGAAATATCCGGCCTGATTTCCGTTCAGTGCTTAAAGCAGGAACTCTGCATCCTGACTTTAATTGATGTCCGCCCCGACATACACCACTTCCCTTCCCGATAAGTGGTCTCCGCGAGTGATGCACCTTTAACAGCTTTTATACACGACAATATTTTAAATCTTGATTGACATCCTAACTGGCGCATCAAAAATAAGGCGGTCAAAATACGCGTTCTCAGTATCTCAGACAGTAATTTCCTGTCTCCTTTCGTTTACGTGGATTTCATCAACTGGACTATCCGTCGGCTTGGGTGGGGCACAGTAAAGGCCTACAGGAAGGGCTGCACTCCAAAATGGTTTTACAGTCCCGCCTAATGTGGGACAGGATTCTACTTTGCGCTCCTTTTAAAGGTGGACTATCGGAATGCAACAACAATTCCATGGTTTTTGAAGCTTCTGATAGACGTACACATTCTTGAAGCATCTTAGTTGAAGATCGCCTGCGAGCCTCTGGTTCTTCGAAAATTATAGCTCTGCATTTTGTGTTGTAATGATCCCCGATTTGTGGTTAACGGGTGGCCACTTCTTCTCCCAGTTTGTTTTAGTACAAGAAGTCCATTCCACTGCTATGGACGCCACAGGATCGAGTACTAGCGTGCAACTGGACTCCAAGGTCCGGAAGACCTTTCAAGCCCTACACGATGCTTACGTTCGTCTTCTTTCGTCCCCATTTTATGTTTCAAACACTCCTATTAATCCTTCTGACTCAACATCTGCAAAGAGATTTGAGGAGGTGGTTGATTCACTTCTGGAGTACCCGAAATGAGATCACGATCAGTCTGAAGTCTGTGATATTTGTCTTATTTTTGGCATTTGCCAGTTTTTCACCAATACTCCTTCTTAGCGGTTCGGAGTTGTTTTGATGTCATTTTTTTGCTAGCGGAATGACTGTCTCTGGTTGCCAACCAACACTCAAACCCCGGCTGCGGCAACTCTGTGGTACCAATCAGTGACAGATTGCGAGGTATTTCTAGTCATATTTCCTCGTAGCACACAAGCATATACGAGTGTATACCGTTCTAGCTCGCATCGGCATTCGCGCAAGCCAGGGCAACCGCTGTAAACGCTTTGACCAAACGTGGAAATTAAAAAAGCATGGCGGCAAACTGCCTTGGTCAGAATAGGCGGAGCTGGTCCATTTTTTTGATCTTGAGCACACACGCCGCAACCTAAGTACAGGACTTCTCACGAAACAGTTTTGTTGGTCACTGTGTTACTGTATGGAATCATCAAGAATGGGGGGGGGGGGAGTGGGTTAGAGCATGCGAAAACAAGATGACCGTCAGTCCCTCGGACTATTGCGCCGCCTTCTGGCGTTCTTCTCGACGATTTTTTAACCAGGCATCAATTTCCGCTTTCAGCTGTGTCGCGGGTTCGACCATTGCCATTTCGAGTGGTTGCCTGTTGAAGGGGTCCGTCGCATCACTAAAAAAGTAGGCTCACGCTAGTGAACAAGAATATGGGCAAATAAAATTAGGTAGAAAATGCTTTTAAGCTTTATTTGGGCCTTTATACCCATTTTATTTTACTTGGGTGCAACTAGTAAGAAATTAAGAAACATGACGCTGAGATATTTCACTGTCAGTCGAATCCACTCCCCAACAACCAACCATCAGTCACCTCTAGCCAAGGCTTCGTTGGAATCGCAGGAGGGCAGCCTAGCGTGAAGACAGTTACCGACGTCTTATGCAGACCGGCAACAGCGAAATATGGTAGATCCTAAGGCCGGTGATCCGAGTCTCGCGCCCCGATACGCTATGAACGCATCAAGTATGGCGTCTCTACCAGTAGTGTTTTGACTTTGGACTTAGAAGGGAGACGACAACCTTATACAGAACGGTACACCAGTGACAAACTGGATGAACTTTTGCATGGCAATCATCTGAAACGCGTTTGCCAACGTCTACAAGTGGAACGCCGGCAGATGGTGAGACGCAGAAAATAAAGTGATCATCTGGTAGTCACTTAAAACAATTCAGTGCTAAGGCTCTTGCGGTAGCAGAGCGTACTGCAAGCAATCAAAGCGGGACGACACTGGAAAAATTAATTTAAGGTCCGGTCTGTGGACATACAGGCCTAAAGGTCCTTGTAAATTACTGGCCTACCTGAGGAGATGACGATAGATGGTCTTTCGGTCGACAATTTTGTTCGACGTCGGCAAGCGGACAGGGTCCTCCATGATATTGCCCATGATCGGATCGCAGAACTCGTCGGGTGCATCGTCCAGATCGGCCTCATCGTCCATTGCGGCCACTTTTTCAGCCTCAAAAAGGCAAAGCACATTTAAAAATTTGGATCTTCACTGGCGCTGCTCTTGGCTTTTGGTTCGTTATTGTCTGTCATCTTTAAAGAGCTTGGAGTTTGCTTGCGGTGCAAACGTTAAAGACAGCGTGGCGTCAGCTTAGAGATGATGTCGGTGGTAAACAGACTGCCGTGAGAGGCATCATCGGTGAGAAGGTTTCGGAGAGCCGTTGCATGATTCCTTTGAGGTGAGTGAGGGACCCTCTACTGGTACAAACAACAGACCTCGCCAACTGTGGCACTGTCGATGCAACGAACAACTGCCGACAAAAAGTCAGGCTAAAATGCGTTTTTGACTGGTGGGAGTGGACTAGACTGCTAGCCCAAGGGGTTGTCGTCCTCTCTGTGATCCATCTAAACTTATGTGTGAGATGAAGAGGTCAAGTGAGACACAAAACATGCGGCAGCACTAGGCAGGACACGGAAATGGGAACCTCCTTCGTGGTACGATTGGCCTTGCGCTAAACCCCAGGGAGATTATGGTTAGAGTGAGGGTTACGGGGGGGGGGATTTCAATCCCCCCTCCTGCAATATTTGTACATGGATAATGGAAAATCCTGGAACGTGGGATAGTCACATTCGCGCACAAATTTGAAAGAAAGACCTGCTTTCCAGAGGCATTAGTGACGTACACCTGGTTGGCACGGAGGCTGAGACACTGCTCAAAACACGGGTTGTGTTTCATCAAAAAACCTCAACACGCCTAGGGCAGATGGAAGGAGGCGACTTACTCGCAGAGCGTTAGCCACAAGTTCAAAACGTTTCGGCAGATCGGAAGAGTTGGAGACCCTGTTAAGGACGACGAGCGCCTGATCTAGCAGGTCCGTTGTGTAGGAGCGTCCATCATTGACAACTGCTCGTCGAAAGGCCGCGGCGGTCTGCTGCTGTTCCGTATCTGGGCTCACAGAAAGGGGAGTGATATTAATATGCAAAACCTACGCCCGGGTGAGCAAGTTAGACATGCACTGAAAAGCTCAAATCACCTGTATCAAGCCCAAGGATAATGTAAATCTTGCAGATTTCCACGACCAAAACATCCGGTCGGAAGCCATAGGTTGATTTGTCACGAACCTTTAGGTCGCCTTGTTTGGGTCCCACCTGAAAAAGGGTTGCAGCCATAGGCGACCAGGCAAACAAGATAGTGTCAGGAGTGAGTGGACGATAAACCTCCGATTGCATGACACGGTATTGATGGAACAGGTTGTATTGTTTACAAAATGACAAGAGATTTATCCCGGTATCACCGACGTGATACGAAAGTCGGGCTGTTAGTGCGTCTCCAAATGTCAAGAGGGAAATTCTGTCGAAGTAGTATCGGGATAAAAGTCGCCGCAGAAATTTATAAGATAATTTAATGGCGACTTAAAGCAATCAAGTAGAAAAGCTAATTTAGTCGAAATTCGTACCAGGCTAAGAAGGAAGTAATTTAGCATACAGGCGATGCGGTCGACGAGCACGGGATGGGTCACAAGATGTGGACACAGAGAGACAACACGGCGTAGAGCAAAGATGGTATCAAGGCCAAGAGTTATATGGAACCTGGCTAATTGGCCGGTATGCAGAAACAGGCCCTCGTCTTCACGACGCGGAAATCTGAAATAAGTTGAGCAAATTTAATTTGGCAGTCTCCCTTAAGTTTTCACTCGGAATTTCAAAGTTAAAGAGCAATGGAATGCGAGAGACTTTCTCTTTCACAAACAACAGCATAAGCAATCATCACCAGGGAGGTCGCAATGAGAAAAAACTTGCCGACCGCCGGCGGCCTCTCGTTCGCGCTCTTTTTGTTTAATTTGGGCTAAAAGGCCAATCGCCTCATCGAGCAGGAAGGTCGCGTCGTTTATTAGGAGGGACAGGAACTGCAGCAGGAGGGGAGGCCGTGGACTGTCGATGTGCTTGATAGCAAACTCCTCCAGGTTCTAAAGGTCGCAAACGTGGGTTTCATTAAACGGTTGGAAAATGGGCAAAAACAGCTTCGAAAAGCACAGCCTAGACAGCACCCGGCCAACATATGGACACCAAGAAGGCTTGCACCGTAGTTTAAAGAGCACTGAGGGACTACGCGAAGTCAGTTCAACAGCTACAGAGGCGGTGGCGGTCTGGCTACAGATACCGGTGTGAAATGCACAAAGCTTGCAAACCCCGTTGTCATGGCCCGAAAGCCAGGTGGCCGAGGATCAGCATGCGGTTCACAGAGAATTTACTGACGCAAACCATACTTCCACTAAACTGTGTATGACCCTCTCCCTTCGTCTCAACCTCTATGAACTGTCCACATCCCGCTAGATTACTTACTCCCGTGCAGTTACCAAATATTTGATAAATTGTTTAAAAACACTTAAGATCATTGGCTCTTGTACTTTATTATACTTGTAAATTACTAAATGCGTACGCGTTCCCTTCCTTTAGGCTTAGTGGTCAGTGTCTCTTAGAGAACAGTTTCTTTACTATGGAAAAGTCCTAAATATCGCAAATGCTACTGAAATAGCTTAAGATGCCGCAAGACTTCACGTCCAGTTCCCCATAGCAGAATTTAACAGAGACAACGGGAAAATCAATCTGAACAAGTTACTTAAACGATGTAAGTAGTTGTTTTTAAATCTAGACAGTATACCTTAAACTGTTCGTCGTAGAAGGGCTTGCCGTGCCAGTATCGCAGACAGGCGTACATGGGTCGTCGGTAGTGGAACTTTTCCTCGAAGCTCACAGTGGCTGTCTCAATGGCTTCTGAAGAAGGGGCGGCCTGTTGTGCACCGGTTGACGCTGACGCCGCGACGGTTTCAAGATTGGAGGCGTTCGCGTCAACACCGGGGGCCAGTTCAATGGAGACGAATGCGGTTAGCAGGGCAGTCACCACCTGACCGAGTTGTTCACTGCCATTATCGCCTGACAGAAGTTGCTCTCTGCGAACGCTGGTGGGACAAAGTAGTTCTTGCTAGTAAAGAATGTTTACTTTGCCCTTGACCTGCGACTAGAAATTTCAAATCGTCATTCAGAAAGGTGATTATTTATTGCTTCAGCATTTACTGGCAGTGAGGAAATACTTAATGCTGACACCGAATCCACGTGTTCCCACGAGGACCGGTATGCATTCCCGTCATAAATATAGGATTCCACACCATGGTGTTTCACTTACGGTAAGGCAGATTTGTCTGCCGGAAATTCAGCCGTCAGTATTTAACAGCTGAATGCTAACATAATACAAATTCGGGGAAATGGTGATCTGTCGGAAGAATGTCATTACCGCAATCGTTGAAACCTCTACCTGGAATTCTTGCCGGAAACTAGTCGAAGGTTACAGAAATGAGGCCGAAGGACAGCGCCATCAAGAAACACGGGCAAGCACAAAAGTTAATTCAAATAAAATGTTGCCACCACCTAAACTAAATTAAAAAGCAAGGGGAATTCACGAAATTGAAGACTGACGCGAACCAGTTCGCGAAAAAAGAACACCTCCGGAAATCTTTC